TGCTGGGAGAATGGGAAACTTGAGTGGGCCCTGATTTAGAGTGGGGGGCACTCCAGCTGGAGAGGAGGGGTCAGGGGCTTGCAAGCCTCGTGCCCAATTCTGCTCTCTGGCAAGAGTGCTGGACAGGAGGAGCAGGACAAATCCCTGAGTAGGCTCCACAGCTGGAGCACTAGATGGGCAGAGCATAACAAGCCTGTTTCCTGACTCCTGACCCTGGATCTCTAGTTCAGAGAGGGTGGAGCAAAGCAGGGTAAGCACTCACAGACTGATCCAATCCTACTTCCAAGCAAGAGCCTCAGACAGGAGATGCCCAGAGCAGCCACAGTGTGGGGAATCCGACAAATGGTACAGCTAGGTCCAAACAACTAGAATGGAGGTTGGTATGTTTGAATTAGCTGTTTGAAAACTAAAGTTGATGAATTACAATTTGTCAATGCTTATGTTTTACAAAGATATATTTTTTATATTTATTGCCCAATATGTTCATTCAGCAGTCACTTTTGCTTCACATACCTTAACACATGTTGCCTAGGCAATAGCACGGGCATTCAGGTAATGATATTGTATGATCAGTACATCCTCTTTATTATTATTATTTACTTTTTCAGGAATTCTGGAGGTTTTGCACTGTGTGCTGGTTGAAAGTCCAGAAGCTCTAAATATTATTAAGGAAGGACATATTAAATCGATTATCTGTCTTTTGGACAAACATGGAAGAAACCATAAGGTGGGTGAGATACTCGTAAGAATAGAAGAACTATAGTGAATAAGAAAAGCATGTTGTTACCTGTAAAAGTGAAATTCCAAATGATTTAATCTGTAAAATAGGTATCCTTTGAAAGGGTTGGGGGTATCAATACAGTTCCTTTCTGTGCTGGTGTTTAATGTTTTAATACAAAAAGAAAATTACAGCCAAAAGAATTTAATTTATTTTACAGGTTTTAGATGTCTTGTGCTCTCTCTGTGTATGCCATGGAGTAGCTGTGCGGTCTAATCAACACCTAATATGTGACAATCTCCTACCAGGAAGAGATCTCCTCCTACAGACACGCCTTGTCAACCATGTGAGCAGGTAAAATAAAATTATCTGTATAAATGTAGATCATCAAAGAAAAAGGAATCTGAGTTCTTGTGCTAAGACAATATCTGTAGTCATTAAGAGAAAATCTATTTAATTCCACCACAGTAATCACTTCTATGCATTTTTCTAAGGGCAATGCATTAACTGGAGTATGCATTAACTGGTTTTGATAAATGATGTCCATAAGAATCAGAACAAGGACTATAGCCTTAAACTTAATCATGGGGCAGTACTGCAGTAGCTTGAGAATCAGAGAGCTCTAAATGGCTCCTTGATGCACCACCATTCTTGCCCTGAGTGCATACTGTTGCAGGAGAGAATTTGGCCTTTCAGTTGAAGATTCTTGGGTCCTGAATACATCTGTTACCTCTGAATTACTGTGTCCTAGTAAGTATGTCACTTAACCATTGAGTGGAAGGAAAAATGTAAATATAAAATGTGAATGATGACAGTGTGGGGGATTTTTAAGTCTTTTAAAATTAAGATTGGAATCCTTCCTTTAGAAAAAAGGTTATAGCTTGAACTGAAGTTAATTGACTTGGTGCCAAAATTATTGGGAGAAGTTCTATAGACTGTGTTCTACAGGAAGTCAGACTAGATGATCACAAACGTCCCTTTTGGCCTTAAAATCTATGCATGTACTTCTGTACCTCATGTTTGTCATCTGTATTGCTAATTTGCCTTAAAGACTGGTACACTCTTGTGAATTACTGGATTTTACAAAATGGTGAATAAATTAATAAATACTTATTTTACAAATTTATTGTAGCTTTAGTTATGAGACTTCACATAAAGTGTTGTGTAGTGTGTTTTATAAGTATAATAAAGTCACTGTCCTGCACTATGAGATGATTTTATAGCATCTACTCACTACACTTTTCCTGATGGTTAAGGGAAGAGGCTATTATTATGTATGAAACTTGGGGATGTGCAATGTGATTTAGTAAAATTGTACTTAAAGTGCAAAGTATTATTACAAATATTTTATCAATAGTGCTGGTCTAATTGTTGAAACTTAATATTTGATTGAACTCTATGGGAAGCTTTTCTACAGAAATTGTGAAGAACTTTTAATTTTTGTCTTCACTTTTAATGAAATGAGACGTATTCAATAAGTTGCAAACATAAACTGAGAAAAAGAAGTATAAATGCTGGAATGTGTTCTTCTGATCTGTTTTTATGGAAATCCATTCCCCCCCCCCTTTGTTTTAAGCATGAGACCCAATATCTTCCTTGGGATCAGCGAAGGCTCTGCCCAGTACAGAAAATGGTACTATGAACTTATGGTGGACTATGTGGAGCCGTTTGTGACAGCAGAAGCAACTCATTTTCGAGTGGGCTGGGCTTCAACAGAGGGCTATTCACCCTATCCTGGGGGAGGTGAAGAATGGGGTGGAAATGGTGTTGGCGATGACCTGTACTCTTATGGATTCGATGGTCTTCATCTGTGGTCAGGTAAAGCATTTTTAATTTAATTAATTAAAGAGATATGGCACAGCCAGTTCCAGTATGTTTCTGTCACTCGGCTGTATCAAAATAAATCATGTATGTATATGAATTGTAGGCAGACATTCCATTTTGGGCAAAATGCAGAACGAGAGTCCCATTATGTTTTTTTTAAAGTTGACTATTGCCATATAAAAGACAGTTTTATTCAAAACAATGTGATTTATAGATGGAAGCATAATTTGTTTCCACCTAAAGCTTTTTTTAAAAAAACAAGGCACTCTACAGCTTTGCTTTAAAACTTCAAAGGTGCAGAAAATGAAGTCTGACAAGCATTCCCACAGTGGCAGACTGGCTTTCTAATTCCTGTTTGATATTATAAGACCAACATGAGAGATTTAGGTCACAGGGATTTTTTTTAATTTCTTTGAGATACTGATTTTGGTTCAAAATTTTAGAAATACTTAATGCCAGACAACAGGGACTTACGTAAGCAGACTGGTCTATCCATTCTCCATGTGATGCATATTGAGTGTGTCTGAATATGTAGTAAGGAAACTTCTTTGTATCATACATTTTAAAAGTACTTCTGTGTTTCTGTTCAGATAGATGGGAATGCATTGGTGATTTGGTTTTCAAAACCACCCAGAGGATATGGACACAATCCTTAGGGAGCTTTTAAAAAATCTCAGCCTAAATGTACTGAAAAATGTATATACTGTTCCTGTTGATGCAATTACGGGATAGGTTGTGAGAAATGTAGACAGTGGATATTAAGTATGCATGTGATGTGTGGGAATGTGTTAACTTTATATAGGTCGAACTTCTCTTAACTGGGACACTCTGGTCCAGCAACATCCCTGGTCCGGAAGGACCAGAGATGTTCTAGGACCAGAGAGTCCCATGGACTGTTGGTGGTTGGGAGCCTTGCATCAGGGCTGGAGTCCAGTAGCAGGGCTGCTCTGTGGCAGCAACACTGGGAGCCCAGTAGCAAGGCTGGTGGCAACAATGCAGGGCTGAGGTGTGGGGAGGCAATGAGACTGCCCGGTGGGTTGGAGTCCAGCAGCAGGGCTGCCTCCTGGCAGCAAAACTGCCCAGCGAGACCGGGAGGCAGTGGGGTTGCCCAGTGATGGGGCTGGGAACCCGGCAGCGGGACTACCCGGCAGCACAACTAGGAGCCCCGCTTCCCCGCTGCTGAAAAGTAGCTCAGCTGCGTGACAGGACTTGGGAGGCAGTGCGGCTGCCCCATAGGGCCAGGAGCCTGACCACAGGGCTGTCTGGCAGTGGAGCCAGGAACCCAGGAGTGGGGCTGCCGAGCAGCACGGCAAAGATCCCGGCAACCCTGCTGCTGCCCAGCGGAGCTTCCAGGTGAGGTTGGGAGGCAGTGGGACTGCCCAACGAGGCTGAAGCGCAAGAGGGGCTGCTGCCCAGCAGCACAGCTAAACTCCAGCAGGGGGGCTGCCACACGAGGCTGTGATTGTGGTGGCAGGGTTGCCATGGTGGGGCTGGGAACCCTGTGCTGAGGGGACGGTGGCAGGGAGAAGCTGTCTGGAAGGCTGGCAGGTCCCCAGGGTACCAGACCAGGGTGGTCCAACCTATATAATAAATATAATATTCCTAGATAGGAATGAAGGAAGAAAACAGTAGTGCAATAAGTACCTTGGCTGCAGAAATTTAGATTGACTTAATGTCTCATGAATGACTTGTGTATTTGGACTGGAAATCCAAAAGCATCATTGGCCTAAAACAGAATCTGAAATAATAATTTTTATCCTTACAGAAAAGAAGTATCCTGTGCTAGCAGATATGAAATTGGAATTAGTCCGTTTTCTTTTTTTTCTGCTGCAAAAGCCTTATTCTATCTCTGATTTAGGCCAGTGCAGTGATATCGAGTATCACAGAGTGAAATAAGTTCTTCATATTTGTCAAAGTTTTCTTGCTTATGCAAAGAAAGTCTGTACATAGCACAGTATTCATATATTTCTATTCTCTGACATTGTCTCTCTTTTTTCCTTATCTGTGCTCATCATGTCCATCTCCTAAACTTTTGTTTAATAACTCTTTATCCCATGCATGCCTTCCTTCTGAGTCTCATGCAGACTGGATAATTTTGCCAGTGGAAGCTTTTGTCCCAGTGACTTAGACTGGTGAAACAAAGAAGGCTTGCTAGATGGAAAAGGTGATTTCTTCGCACTAGAGCTACAAGTTTTTAATTCTCAAATTAACTGGCATTGAGATTAGAGCCTTATTGGTCATTGGAGGTTGAAAGTGAAAGGAATTTTTTTGTGATATTGAGGTGTGTGAGAGAGCATTTGCATCTTCTCATTGGTAATGCATGTAAATTGAGGTTGGTTTGGATGTTAGTGGCCTTAGCTGATTTTTTTAAGTGGTTGAATTGATAGGATATGTACTTGAGTGTTAATTGAACTCATTGAACTCTAAGGGGATGTCTACATAATGCCCTGCACACCACCCTGGGAGTGAGTCTTAGAGCCTAGAGCAGTTGAATCAGGCTTGTGCTGCAGGGCTAAAAATAGATATTGGAATTGGTCTGGAGCATGAGCTCTGAGACTCGGCAAGCTCGATTTCAAATGAATCCTAATGAAATATCCCAGAGAGCGGTGGCAAAGGAGCTCTGTAATGGGCAAGAGGTGTTGTAGGGAGGAGAATATTTCCAGAGCCAGATACTACTTGAATATCAAGTGAACAGAGAGGGAGGGAGCAGTTTTGTTTTTTGGAGAGAAGACAGTAGACATTTTCAATCTCAAGAGTCCTCTTGTACTCTGTTCCTCTCCCAGTAATCGCATTTTCATCTAAGGTTGCTGTTGCACTTCCAGAGTGAAATATGTCATAATCTCCTTGAATTGTTGTTATCCCAGAAGGGGTAATATATAGTATGGGATTTTTTGGGTCCATGATAAATTCCACTCAAATGACTAGCAACATATTAGGCTGTTGCTTCTTAGTGCTGATCCTGGAAAGGTCAGTGAAGAAATGCCAGAGGAAATATTCTTCTTCCAACTGACATATAACATTTACCTATGATGTATTATTATGATTGTTACTACAGTATTTAATACATGGAGAATGACCTGCAGCTGATCCTGTGATTTGTGCCACTTTTGAGGAAAGGAAGATAACAAGGGATCATATTTGATTTATAAAACATCAATATTTGCTGAGATTACCAGGATTAATTGCATTTATTCTTGAGTAAAAAGAAGATTCAGTTCAGAGTCATTCATGTTTTATCATTGCTCTGAGAAAAATTAAAATGACCAGTCTCAAGTAATCTCATACTATAACAAATATCATGATTAGAGCCATGATGTTGGTAATGAACTAACCAAGTCTTCACTGCATGCTCTAATAGTAGATTCCCCCTCAAACCGCTTTGTCTCCACATACCTGGGAAAAGGGTTGGAGTTTGAACCTCACACAAGATTGGGGAGTAGAATCTTCAAAACACATCAGACAGCAGGACTCCAGGGAAATGGAAAGGCATGGAATACACTGATTAAATGTGAATTTTTTTATCTAGATCTTTAGAGTCTCTATTGGAAATGATTACTCAGAGATCAGAGATCAGCCAAAGATGGCCTGGGAATCTAAACTGCACAACCAATGTCGCAACTGGCCTGCTGTTATTTAGAGCTTAAAATTGTCTCAATCACAACTATGGATATGATAGTATACACATTTAAATGTTTAATTAATGGGCTCATTGGTTAACCTTCATAGTTACACACAAGCACTCCCCTTTATACTGCTGCCTCAGTATCAGAGGCAGCAGCACAGAGTGGGGGAGCAGATGGGAACCGGTGTTCGCAGGGAGCTGACTTTTAAGCCAACTCCCCATGTGTTACAGGCTCTCACAGAGCCACCTACCCCTTCCCCCACTCTGCTGCCTCTGATACTGAGGCAGCAGCACATGGGGAAGGGGGGAGGGGATGGTAACAATCCTTGGCGGTAGGGGTAGTACGTCCTAATGGCCAAAGTCACTATAATGACCCCCCAACAGTTGAGTAACCATCCCAAGGTAGGTGGCAGCCAGGATAGGGGAACCTGGACCCTCCCTCTCCACTGTGTTCTGACCCAGGGTCCTATCCGTGGCAGATTCACCTGCCACCAGCTTAGTGGGGAGCCACCTTCAACATGCCAAGTCTTTAGCCAATTCTAACCTGTTCCTCCTCTCAAGTCCCCTGGCTCTCTTCCTATTTGAGCCTACAAAAACTATGGTGTCCATTGTCTGGCAGTCTTTTCACCCTCTGCGCCATCCCCTCTCTGGATGCCTAGATCTGGTCTTGTTTAGCTGGCCTCTAGGTAGTCCACTTGCTGGAGCTTGTGGTGCACCACCTCCTCTGATGGTTAGCCCAGAATACACTGTTCTCAGACCTTTTTACCCAGGCCCCAACTGGAGCATACTCAGCAGAGCGGAAGGAGTATGGCCTCTTTTGCTAACAAAGAGGGCTTAACCCAAGAGTCTCAAACTCCTGTCCCAGGCATCATCTATGACCTGAGCATGTCCCCAGTCTGGCCCACAAAATATTTAGAATAAGTCATTTAATCAGGCTGATTCAGTTGCTGGCCAGAGGCAGGAGCAGTGGGTGGCATACAGGGATTCACCCTCACACAAGCCTCCCAATAGCACCCAGGGCCCAAGCGCCAATGTAGTCCTGGCTGCAGAGGGAGCCGCTTGGTCTGGGAAGCTATTGGCTGTTTTTGCTGCACTACAAACCACATTGCGAACTCAGCTGGCCGAGCAGCCACCCAAGCTGACATGCTTCTGCAGCCAGTGGGGCAGGACTGGTGGGTTTTGCTTTTGGTTACCCAGATGAGGGTGGGGGATCCCAGCACGAGGGCATAGATGTTAGTGGGGTAGAGGGAGGTGGGATTCCAGTGTGATAGCATAGATATTAGCAGTGGGGGGCATCCCAGCATGAGGACATGAGAGTGTCAGGGGCAGGAGAGTTTCATTTGTAGGCTCCTGGTCTCTCTCTGGGCTCCTGGACACAGCTGGAGACACTGCCAATTTGGATGTACTGTATTGCCAACCCCAAGTGTTCAAAACTCATGAATCAGCCGTCCCCCACTTCCAGAAAAGAGATTGGCTTTTTGAAATCACAGATAAAAATACACACGGGGGTCTTTTTATTTGATATCTGGTGTTTTAAGCTCTTTTGCTGAACTCAGGGCATGTTTTCTAGCTTTTCTCCACAAACCAGGAAACCTAAAGTTTTCTTAAAAAAAAAAAAAAAAAACCAACCAAACTGAGAAAAGGAAGAAATAAGAGGCTTGGACTCTTTTGTAATACCATGCACCAGCAAACAAACATAATATACTAAGTCACAGTGATCAGTGTTGATAGTGGTGCATGAGATATCAAGTAGTGAAGTTACTAGATACGGCTTCATTTAATTCTAATAATGTGGTTGGGGCTTTTCAGAATTATCAGGAGACTTGTGATAAAATCAGGAGAGTTGGCATCACAGGTATCTTGACCATTTCACAAAATGAATTAATAGTTTCACAGTTTATACATATAGGCGAGATGCTCTGCATACACCTCTGCCAGGCACCAGGAAGGTGCTGGCAGCAACATGAAGCTAGCAGTAGGAAGTCACTCTAGCCCTGCTGCACTGCTGGTGGTGGTGGTGGTGGTAGGGACCCGGCCGGGAGGCATGCAGGAGGGAGTGCACTGGGCCAGCAGGAAGGGCTGGGAGATGCACGGAGTGGGGACACAGCAACCCCTGCTCCCTTGGAGTCTTGCAGAGGAAGGTGCGCACTGGCTCGCTAGGAGGATTTGAGCACTGGCAATTGCCTATAAAGTTTGAGATCCATGGTGTGTCAGTGCAGATCAGAGACACCCTGACATAGGCAGATACAGGAATCTAGTGGTAAAATAAATGTAGGTCTGAATCTGAGACTTACATTATATCAGTCTCTCAGTGCTTTACTTGGATTACTGCACTGGCACCACACTCACTGTCTTTATGAAGATAGGAATGAGGCTTCCAGACTGTTTTATGAGATAGCTTAGAGTAAAAGTAGCAACCACTTTGCCTAATAATATATAAGTGTTCTCTGGGCACAATAATATACATACATATATTGGGGATGTTATGACTACTCTCATTTATTTAACTGCATTGGTCAGCTGAGGGCTGTTTATAAAGATGAGAGCACAATAAACCAACCACAATGGGCTTTATGTTTAAAGGAAAATTGCTCATAGGGAAGAAGACAGAGCACTTTGTCTTGAAATAAAAAGTTTCTTTTCTTGCCTCTGTCTACTTAGACAGTTCCTCTTTGGTAGCAATAGATGAGAACCATAACAAAATAGGTCAAGACTATTTAAAGTTCTGCTTTCTTCCTAGTGCTAGTATGCAGTATTGACACAAACAATCAGCTCACCCTGATGTAGCTAATATTTGTGCATTGATTCCATCAGTTCAGATAGGTTTTCAAAATCTCAAATATCGAACAGGTTCCATACCTCTGAAATTTCATTAACATTTTCTGTGGTAGCTAAAACAAATTCTTGGCAGATCTGGAGTGATTCCAAGTTGCCCAAAGTAGAAAAAACAAATAATACTTTCGTTTGATAATCTATGTCCTAAAAAGGCTCTAAAATAATAATAAACCAAAATCACTTTCTTAGAATGAAATATTACCATATAACAATTATTATATTGTTACCATATAACAATAAATCTTCCTATTAAATCTTCTTGTGCAAAATCTAATTTAATTTAGTTTCTTCAGTTTTAGAGTAACTCTAATATTGCAAAGAAGGAGAATTCATAAATGAAGAATTTAAGACTAGAGGAGGAGGATCATCTTGTCTAATCTGTACATCACAGGCTATTAAGTCTCACTGTTACCATGTTATTGAGCCCAGTAAATTGCATTATGTTTGGTCTAAAGCATATCTCCCAGAAAGATGTCCGGTATTGATTTCATGACATGAAGAGATGAAGAATCCACCATTTCCTTTGGTAGTTTGTTTGTGCTTAATCACCCTCACAGTTTACAAAACTGTGCCTAAACTCTAATTTGAGATCGTCTGGCTTTATTGGTGGCCAAATACCTTGCAGTCATAAAAAGGTTCAGCCATTTGGGCATCCTGGGGCATCAAATCATCCAGAGAGGATGGGGTTCCCTGTAAACCTTTAGAGCCCATTTGTGTTAGCTAATGGGAAAAGGGGGAGTAACAAATATTTGGGAACCGTACTGGGTTTGGTGGGGGAAGACAGCCAAACTAATGGCTGGCACCTCCTTGTGGTGGATGCCCAATGCAGGTACACCATAGAAAGGACATTCGATAACCAGTCAAATAGCTTGGAAAAGGATGTAAAAAGAGATGGGTGTTAAAGGGGTCAATTGGGGACTCTTATAATTGATATGGCAGAGAGCCAACCCCTCTCCCCCAATATTATAGCCCACCTTACCTATAAGTGGGATGAATTTTAAACGCCTGGCAAGGGATTTGCTGAAAGGACCTGGATAGGAAAAGAGGAAGAGCTTATGGGAGCCTTCTCCTCCCCACGAGATATTGGAAGGTCCCAGCAATAATTTGCTGGAGTAACTTGGATGGAAAATGAGAGGGAGCTGGTAAAAAAAAAAAAAAACCAGAACAATTTTGTGCTCACTAATCCATAGCGCTACCTCCAAGACTGGTCTGCCAGCATCTGGAACAAAATCACAACACATTAATGGTGACTGACCACCTGAAGTTGCACACGCGTATTATGTTTTTCAGTGCCATTGCACAATTGTCAGAATTGCGTGTGCCTCTGTAACCAGCTGCAGCACTTGAGGACGCTAGCTGACAGGTTTCCTGTGACCCTGTGCGCCCGCTACTTTGTAATGGGCTATTTGATGACCAGCTTTTCTGCTCTTGTAATTGCATGCATTTGTTAAGATTTGTTCCCAGAGCCCTGCCAACTGAGAGCAGGCAGCCCAGTTGCGCACACACTTTTTAATCAGTTACCAATTAAACAGAATTTTACATCCTTAGAAATAACTTGCATAAAAAATTCCTGCTAACAAAAGTAGAAGTTTGCTGACCTCTTTTGCAGCAGTTTCCATCTCTCCCACATCACACAATAAAGCATTGTTTTTTAAAATCAGCAAGCCATTCCCACCTTCACCCCTCCTTAAAAGTGGATGGAGCTGGCTCCTGCATTAGGAAAACAGGATAAGGGCTCCTCTGTAGGTGGGTTCTTGAGGGGCATAGGGCACTTGCCTGAGGAGGGCAGGATTGTGGGTTCACGTCCCGTCCTGGGAGTGGCCAGACAGCTGCCCCAGGAATGGAGCAGCAGAGCCAAGGCAGGCTTACTCCTACCCCAAGCCTACACCACTCCCAAAAGTAGCTGGTATGTACAGTCTATATTAGAATCAATTTCCAGAGGTTTTTCACTTGTCTATCTCTTTCTGTGCCTTACAGTATAGATAAACTAAATGCCAGAAGTGTGGCATTTATCCAAGTTTGTAGGTAATTTTTATATGTAAATACAAGATGTATTCTTTAAATGGTGTGGGGGGAAGAGAATAATATATTCTAGGGTTAATTGAAGACAGAATAAAGTAATAGACATATCTGTGGTGAAAAAGTATTTACTAATCTTTATTAATCTATTTTAGAGCTTTGATTCATGCTAAGTAGTACAATACTCCATAAAGTAAACAAGGGTACCACAATCTGGCTCTTAATAATGATACACCCTGATTTAACATCTTCAAAATACTTTACAGATAGCACATTTGTGTTCATCTTGGATGATAGGCCATACTGTAGATTAGTATTTTGATATATTTTATTTCACACAATATCATGGTCTCATTGATCTAATATTTGTTTTTAGGACTGAAGTATTTTGTATAGAATTTGGCAATTGGAACAAAAGTCAAAATAATGTACATTTCTAATGCAAGTGTGTGACATGCATTTTTAGCTGGATTTTCTATGAATGTTCTGGGGTTGGGTTTGTTCGATATATACATTAAATAATATTTACATAAAGTATAAATGGAAGGAGTTTTTGATGCAAGCGCCTATTGTTGGGATTGTGATATTTGGATGCTTGTGATATTTGGATATGAAGGATTTTTATTGCCAAATTGCTTGGCAACAAGCACTGAAAGTCTGAAATACTGAGCTTGGTGATTGACTAATCATGAGAGAGTCCAAGTACAATTCAGGCCTGCTATTGTAGGCATTGTATAAAGGTGTAATGTTGCAATAATTACAATTTATGGTTTTGCAGATGCCATTGAGTTAATTTAATCTTAATTATTTGATAATCTAGTATTGATGTCAGCGAATCCAGTCACATGCACTCCATCCTTTTACCGGTTCTTAAGTAAAAATTTCAGGTTTGAGTGAAATCTTTTCTGTGTGACTCTTTAAAGTTGTTCTAAATGTATTTTCTTTTTTCCCGCAGGCTGTATTGCACGGACAGTGAATTCACCCAATCCTCATCTCTTAAGAACAGACGATGTCATTAGCTGCTGTTTGGATCTGAGTGCTCCAAGCATCTCATTCCGGATAAATGGTCAGCCCGTTCAAGGGATGTTTGAGAATTTCAACATTGATGGCCTCTTCTTTCCCGTAGTCAGTTTCTCGGCAGGAATAAAGTAAGCATCCATTGTTGTTTTTCCTCTGCTATTTTCAATGAACACATCCAGTTATTCCCCTTCTGCCTTCCCCCACCTCATTTCCCTTTCTGACATCTGCCTTCTTGGCACATGGCCTGCTGCATTAAAGTGGATCGAGGTAAGAGCTGAAGGGAATCCTGAAGGGATAGTGCACCTGGTGTTTGTCAGCATGCAAACATGTTCAGGTATCTCATTAATATACCCCACTTAGGATTTTAAAAACTGTCTCTTTTCTTAGCTGCCAATACAGCATGAAATGCTAGCATTCCCCGCTAGGCCAGACTTTCAGCCAAACTTAAAACAAAAACATCAACATTAATTCTATGGTTTTTTTTTCTTCTGATTTCTGCCATGTAAAATAATGGGCTTTCCATAATGCACTGGTGGCAGTGTAGTCTCTGTTAGCTGAAGATAGGAAAACACAATTGGTCAGTTCTGTCTGCCATTTAGCTGCATTCTTGGATTTCTTTCTAATGCTAAGCATGGATAGCATTGCCTACTGGTAAAATATTCTAGAGCATCTATATTCTGGCCTCAATTACACATACTCTTCTCTCTGCCTAGCTGTCCTACGCAATGCTATCTTCCTGCATATGAAGCTGTGGGCCCTTAGGGAACATCACTAGCACAGATTGCAGGAGCTTGTCTTTTCAGCAACACAGACGACTGCAAAGACATTAAACCTCGGCTTGCTGTGCAGCTTTACAACAGAACAGCAACTCGGAATCAGGGTCTTGCTCCTCTTCTTAAAGGGTGCTCGGTGGTTTGTGCTCATGATACTGAAAAATATTGCCCGGATTACTGTCAGCAGAACTGCTGTCCATCTAATATGGAACCATACACTACATGGCTAAAGCTCTTCTATGCAGGCCTGGAGCTTTGCTCATAGCTGCTCCAAGACTGTGGAACAAACTTCTACAGGCATCGCTATTCCCAGTCAGACCTTTCATTCCTGATGCAAAGTGCACTTCTTCAACATTACTTTTGCAAATATAAACACCTAATAATAAAATAATATAATAATACAATGTATATGTAACATATATTTCTCCTCAAGGAGAAAGAGAAAGAAGGAACAATATGGGAGTGATTTCATTCAAATCACTCAATGGACTTCCTGAATGTGTTCAGATTCTATAGGCATGAGGATCTTTAAGAACCTTGTTGTGTAACTCTACTGAAGCTATTGTAATTACAGTGGTGATTAATTGACTTTTTTTTCCAGATCTTCCAAATCACACTTCACCAAGATGAATCACTGAGTTTTGTAACAGATACTTCATGCTCATCTCTGTACTAAGGGCCTTGTAGTAACAAAAGTGAAAGGCATGATTGTATAACTGCAAAACATGGAAAACTTGTAATGTTGAACATAAAATGAATTTTCTGTGTTGTCTTGAAGGTTGCATATGCTATTGGTGAGAGTATTGGATGATTTTCCATTGAGATTTTGGGTCTCATTTTTCAAATCTTCCAAACTTCAGGGATTTCAGAGGGAAAAGTTCTGGGCCTGGGTTTATCTCTGGCAATCTCTTGTCTCCAGGGCTATAGCTAAACTTTGGTGTTATGAAGGTTACTTCCTCGTAGGCATCTTTAGCAAGTTAGTATTTTCTTACTTTTTTCTCCATTATCCTCCATCTCTCTAAAACTGTTGAATAAAAGGTGGCGATTATCTTATGGAGTGGCTAAATCTCTTCTGAATGTAGAATAGTGATAGAAATGTAGCCGTGTTAGTCTGGTGTAGCTGAAACAAAAAACAGGACTGTGTAGCACTTTAAAGACTAACAAGATGGTTTAATAGGTGATGAGCTTTCGTGGGCCAGACCCACTTCCTCAGATCAAATAGTGGACGAAAATTGTCACAACCATATATACAAATTAAAATTAATTGTATCCTTTGGTATATATGGTTGTGACAATTTTTGTCCACTATTTGATCTGAGGAAGTGGGTCTGGCCCACGAAAGCTCATCACCTATTAAACCATCTTGTTAGTCTTTAAAGTGCTACATAGTCCTGTTTTTTGTTAAATCTCTTCTGGTTACACATCTATTCTTTCTTCCTCACCACAACCTCCAGTGCTAATTACCTGAGAGGCAAGTGTTTAATATGGTGAAGTTGCAGCATTGATGGTCTTAGATTACTGTTGAAAGCAAAAGACTAACCAGTGGTTTGTACTGGAGACATTATAATTGCATATATTGCTGTTGCTGTTCATAGAGTACGTTTCCTGCTTGGAGGCCGCCATGGAGAGTTTAAATTCCTGCCTCCACTTGGGTATGCACCCTGCTTTGAAGCTGTTCTGCCAAAAGAGAAGCTAAAAGTGGAACATAGCCGAGAATACAAACAAGATCACCACTGTGCAAGAGACCTATTAGGTCCAACCATCTCTTTATCTCAAGCAGCCTTCACACCAGTACCAGTGGATACTAGCCAGGTAAGTGAATCAAATGAGCGTGTTTTTTTTCTTAGTCATAGACATTGCAGGCTCAGATTAGCTTCATGAGTGAGCTTGCAATTTGTCCCAAACATATTGGGTTGATTTGGTATATTTTATTGCTAACCCCTGAGAATAGTGGAACATACAAGCACAATAAGAACTTACTGCTGCTTATTAGAAATTTCATTTGTTTCACATTTGTGAGCTTTAGAATATGTTGTTTTATCCTTGGAGTGAAACTAAAGTAAAACAGAGGGCCCTTTGTGTAGTGATAACTGTGGAAATGATGTAACTGTTTTCTCATTGAACTTTTTATTGATCAAGTATTTTAAAGGTGAAAGCTAGTGCTCATGTTAAGATGCACTAGGACGCCTCATTTCATTTTATTTACTGGGGTTGCCACGTGACTGAGAGCAGAATTTGGCTCATTATGGAGAGAAAAAGATGCAAAAGAATAATGCAAATTTATTTTATTTTATTGCATATCTATACTTACCATGGAACAACAGAAAAATTGACAAATGAAGGCTAATGTATGCATCTCCTGTGGCAACAGATAAAAGCATTGACTCTTACATTTGCCGCTGATGCATCCCCAGAATACTGGCTAATACTACATCTGGAATGATGTGGGCCCACCCCCATTAGTATGACATCACATACACCAGGCATGTGAGGTCGCACCAGTGGGGATTGAGCACTCCTACATGGCATTCTCCACATCCACCGGGCAGGGACAAACTTTTCCCAAAACAGGACTATCCAACTTAAAACTGGAAAATGACCTGCCTGAGATCCTGCTCCCTTGGAAAGGAATGTGAATATTGCCATTGGCTTTGATGTATACGGGATCAAGCCCTAAATATTCCCTTCTAGACATAAAATGATTGATGAAGAAAGAACAAATCCTCCAGTAAAACAGACAGCATATGTCCATCTCTGTAATGTACATGATAATGCCCTTTTATAAAGTAATGATTCTGAGACAGCTTGCTAGAGAATTGTATTTTTAATAAATGTTTCTTCTGCCTTGTGAGTCCTGTCATGTAATACTAAAATTATCAGCTCTGAAATAATTAACAATATTCACGTTGGTAGTGTTTATAATTAGGGGTCAGTGTTCTCTTCTAAATCCCAATCCTCAGACTACTACTGCTTCTACAGTAATAAAAGATATTCTGAACATTCAGTCTACAAAAAATAGCTTCTTTTTGCAGATTTATATGGAAAAAGAACAGCTTAATGAGAAATAGTACCAATGATTACATAGCATATTGATTTTGTAGTTGCTTTCTCTAGATTCAGTACCCATTTGAAACTGGTGGGTAATGTGGGATATATCTTATGAGCACAACTTACCTATACATTTATTTAGATTCTTATAAGGCAGGGGAGGGTAATCATTTTTGATGGGTGGCCGCTCCTAGATTTTGATAAATAGTTAAGGGTCGCACTTTTCTGTGGTGCGAGTGTGAGATCTGGAATGGAGGATGGGTGCAGAAGGGAGCTTGGAATAGGGGACTGGAGTGTAGGAGAGTGTGGGGGATCTGAGAAGGAATTTGAGTGAAGGAGAGGGTTGTGACCTCAGACAGAGGATTGGGTTGCAGGAGAGTATTCTGGCTTGGGAGAAGGGTGTAGGAAAAGGTGCCAGGTCTGGGAGGGAGTTGTGACCTGGGAGAGAGGAGTGCAGGGGTTTTGAGTGATGACCTAAGTAGGAGGGGGTTGTGGTCTGGGGTAGGCTGCTGGGTGGAGAAAAGGTAGGGCAGTTCCAGAGGCAGGCTCTGACTAGGAAGTATTTACCTAGGCAGCCCCTGGCCAGCAGCCCTACAGTACCCTGAGGCAGGCTCCCTGCCTGCTGTATCCTCAGGCTGCACATAATAGCTGGCTGCTCCTTGTGGCTCTCTGCTTTGAGCACGATGGGTGGTAGGTGGAAGGCTTCGCGCATTGACCCATCCTCCAGCAAAATCTCTCAGCTGCTATTGTGCGGAAACCGAACAGTGGGAATTGAGAGATTTTGCTGGGTGGTGAGGGCAGTATGCAAAGCACAGAACAGACAGCCAAATGGTGCAGCCAGACGCTGAACGTGGTGTGGGGCTGCTCTGTACCTGAGGGTCCTTGTGGGGTGGCTCATGGGCCGTATCTTGCGTGCCCTATTATAAGCCCACAGATAAATAGTGTGTAAGTTATGGAAGAGAGTGAAAATGTGTTGTACATATACAGTACTTCTCATCAAGGCACTTAAATTGTGTGTGACCTTACTGATTATTTCTTATTCTGAGAGAGATTTCTAATTTATTCTGGCTATTTATGATGACGATGTTGAATATGAGAGTATAGTAACTGGATTGCATAGTAATACAATGTTTGTAATAGCCTCTGTTTCTTGTGTTTAGATTGTATTGCCTCCTCACCTGGAAAGAATTAGAGAAAAATTAGCAGAGAACATCCATGAACTCTGGGTTATGAATAAAATTGAACTTGGCTGGCAGTATGGCCCAGTAAGTACTTTTAAAAAATTCCTGTTAATTACTTTCTGTACATAGCAAAACTGTATACTTCTGATTGTACTGTATGGTGACACCACTGTGATTCCGTTGGATTTCACTGATAATTAATATGGGATGTGTTCCAGTAGTTGGAAACCGACAGTATTTATATAGCCAAAAGGCTAAGGTTTTGGTCCAAATCCTGGTATCCATTAAGACTGTGGTGAGTATTAAAGTCAGTCTAATTGATGGTGTGTGGATTCTCAACCCGATGTTGGAATGGTGGAGCTGGCTCTTCATTTTCACCTTTCAATTGGGGAAGAAGAAGGAGACAGAGGAGAGGGGTTCTACTGGAGTACCACGTCTGTCTTGGCTGCCAAAAAATGTTTGGGAGGCATTGTTGTGTCATGCCAAGCAATGAAAAGCAGCCTTAAGGCTCCTCTGGCATCTCAGGGCACGCTGTCATTGTCTCCGCCATCTAGTTGTGCACTACCTTCCCTCCTCCAGAGATGTAGAAATCATGGTCATGGAGTCAATGAAGTAAAAACCAGCATTAACTCTTGAGTGGACTTGTAGGAAACTTACTGCTTTGCCAAGGAAATGGGTCATATAGAACATATGCTCCTCAGTTTGTCCTGCCTCTCATGACCAGCACACACCTGCTAGAGCCCCAGTCTGACTGTTGATGGGGAAAAAAATGCTATGGGTCCTCAAGGAAGGGGACTTGCCATGAAATCTCCAGCTGTCCCTCAATCCCTTATGTGAGTTGTATGCTTTTTGTACGCATCGTTAAACTAGGGAAATATATAAAGGCTGTGTCTAGAATGGCATGATTTTGCGGAAATATTTTTAACGAAAAAGTTTTTCTGTTACAAGTATTTCCGCAAAAGCGCGTCTAGATTGGCATGGATGCTTTTGCGCAAAATCTTGCCAGTCTAGATGCACCTAAACAGTAAAATGCATAAACACAGAAGGGAAATACAGCTTAGCTGGATCTACTATAAGGTGGATGCATAGCTGGTGGGAAAATCGTCCCCAGCAAGTAGTTATCGGTGGTTAACAGTCAAGCTGGAAGGGCATATTGAGTGGGGTCTCGCAGGAATCAGTTCTGGGTCCTGTTCTGTTAAATATCTTCAGTGATTTATATAATGGCATGGACAATATGCTTTTATAAAATTTGTACATGATACTATGCTGGAAGGGGTTGTAAGTGCTTTGGAGGATAAATAGGATTAGAATTCAAAATGATTTGGACAACCTGGAGAAATGATCTAAAAAAAAGGATGAAATTCAATAAGTACAAATGTCAAGTACAATCAGTTGCACACATACAAAATGGAAAATGACTACTAGGAAGGAGCACTATGAATAGGGAGTGCTGTACGTGTGGATCACAAGCTAAATATGAGTCAAAAGTGTGACATTGTTGCAAAAAAAGAAAAAAACATCACTCTGGGGTGCATTAATAGGAGTACTGTAAGTAAGACATAAATTTAGTTATTCTACTCTGAATAGGTTTCAAGTGGAGTATTGTTTCCAGTTCTGGGTACCGAACTTGGGGAAAGATTTGGACAAATTGAAGAAAGTCCAGAGGAGAGCAACACATTGAATATGTAAAGGATTTTATGTCATCTTCAAAAAAGAAACAAATATGTACAAGCTAGAAACATATTTTGAACATACAATCTTATAATCAATATTTACAGCTTGTAGAGCAGAAGAATCTTGAAGCAAAATAAACATATTGAAAGTCTAGGATGTGGGGGGGGGGTGGAGAAGCTGTGATCCTTGATGAGTGAAGCAAGAACTCCCATTAGAGACTGTATTAAGTCCTTTTCCCCTGTAAATCCTTATAAACCTTGAGCGAATTATGAAATTGAAAGTTACAGTATACATTGAAAAGGTGTTCTCTATTACCAACAGCACAGACTGTGTCCAATGATTTTGCGATCCATCTAAGCTGAGAAATATTCCCTATGGCATCTGCTCATGTTAAAAATAATAAATAACCTGTTTTATTCAGTGATAGAAGTGTAGCCGTGTTAGTCTGAAACAAAATGCAGGACAATGTAGCACTTTAAAGACTAACAAGATGGTTTATTAGATGATGAGCTTTCATGGTTTTTTAAATTTAAAAAATTTAAATTGTATCCTTTGGTATATATGGTTGTGACTATTTTCTTCCACTATTTGATCTGAGGAAGTGGGTCTGGCCCACGAAAGCTCATCATCTAATAAACCATCTTGTTAGTCTTTAAAGTGCTACATAGTCCTGCATTTTGATATTTCATGACACAGAATAACTAGCGTCAGTCATTATCAGCTTCCTTATCTACCACTGAAAGTAGTGCCTATTGACTGTTTAGGCGTAGTTTTAATGCAGTTAAATTGTTTTTCCTTAATTCTGATTCAAGAGAGTATTTAGACAGAAAATTGTGATTTATTTCACAGTGATGTTTCAAGTTGCTGGTTTTGTAGTGAATGCTGCTTTGAGACTAGGGCACACTGTTTGCTACTTTTAGCAATGAATCAAAATCTTCCCCTCGTTCTCGTTTAAAACTTTGGTTTTGTTCCTTATATTTGCATTTCTTAACAATTTGAAGATGTCATTGTCATTTACAAAATTAATGTAGGGTTATCACTTAAATCTAAAAATGTTCAAATGTGATTTGTGAATAGTAAACACCATCTGAATTCTGCAGAATGCAGAGAGATTGCGGGCACGAAGTCTGCACAACACAATGTCTGAATACAGAATGATGCCGTTTCCTGATGTAATGTGCATGTGCAAGTTTCTCTTTTTATCAGTCTCATTCTCACGCTGTCTGGTTCACTGGGGCTTAAACTCTCCTGAAATATTTCCTGGAGCCCCACAAGTCCACCCACACTGTTCTCCAACTAAAAGACATTTGCATGGGAGGTGGAGCACACAGCTTCTCACCTGCAGTAGAATGGTGGTTCTCTGGACTTCTGCCCTATGAGGAGGAGGTACTGTGTGTGAAGCCCCAAGATCCTTTTCCCTGGAGGGGAGAAGCCCCTAACTTTACCCCCACTGCAGGACAGAAGCCCCGAGCATTCCCCTATTCCCCCGCCTCTGCAATCTAGTAGGCAGAGAATGGGGTAGGAGCATGGAGCTTCTTTGTGACTTTAACTGTAAAATCTACCGCCTGCAATATAGGTGGTGTCACATATACTGATAATACAGAGCATGCAGCTTCTGCAATACAACACAGCCAGGGAAAAATAAATCCACAGAAGGAATCCAGCTGGTCTGCGTGACTTGTACTGTGGTGTCCAGGAAGTGGATCTCTCGTGTAGAATGGTCCAGGCTGAGGTTGATGGTAGGGTGTAGGTTGTTGAAATCTCGGTGGAATATCTCCAGTGTTTCTTGGCCATGCGTCCAGATCATAAAGATGTCATCAATGTACTGTAGGTAGAGAAGGGGTGAAAGGGGATGGGAGGAAATGTTGTTCTAGGTCAGCCATAAAGATGTTAGCATACTGTGGGGCCATGCGTGTACCCATGGCTGTGCCGCTGATCTGGAGGCATAAGTTGTTCTCAAACTGGAAATAATTGTGGGTGAGAACAAATTTTTTTTATTCAGTTCAGCTTGATAAAGGAGTTGGACAGAAAAATGAAAAGATATCAGTCAGAAACAATGAATAAATATATTAAGAGGGTGTTGTGGAGGATATGAAAAAGCCGTAGTAAGTATGTGCCATGGCAAATGGTGGCCAGATCATTTATTGATAAATAGGACATAGTGAGCTGATACCCATAACTCTCTCTTTCTCTCTCTCTCTCTCTCTCTCTCTCTTCATATAGATACCCATAACTTACTATGTGTGTATATATATATATATTTATATATATATAAACATATGAGAGATTTGAGAGAACAAATTTCTTGTTAGTACATCTGCTAAAGTACACAAAGATGTTTAAAAAATCCTGTAGTATTTGATTCTGTGTTGTCATGATGTTACTGGTTTTTTTCATTAAGAAACAAATTAAATTTCAAGAAAAAACTCCTTGAATTGATGCAACATGCTGGGCCAACACATCTGTTAGAGTTGTTCTTATTTTTTAATAACTACTGCAGATTCAGCATTTTAGAACAGATCAGGCTAAGAGTTGGGAACAGATTGTACACTGTTGGCTATTTACTTCATTGAGGGATATTGTTCATTTCTTAGGATGAACAAACAAACAAAAATCTACTACCATTAAGTGAAAAAATATCCACTTTCGAGAATAAATTAATGTTGCTTTAAATAACAACTAGTGTAATTCTTTGCTTTGCAGCAAAAAGCTCTGACTGATTTAAAATAATTAATGAAGTTATCTTCACAAGAGCACCAGTTGGTAGGTATCATGATCCTTACTTTACAGATTTAAAATAACCTGGAGATGAGCGGCCTGGTCATGATCCCATGGAAGTCAGTGGCAATTGTGCCAGTGGTATCAAGAGACCAGACTATGCCTCTGAGATCAGGCCCCTACATGCTTGTAGCTGTCTAAGTATAGTATCGACTTTATAAATATTCTTAATATTATGAACATCACAGTAATCTCTCCACAGCATTTTCTCATCCCCTTGGGGGAAATAATAAATTAAAAATGTGCATTAAAACAATATGAATGATTTCTTATTGGATACAATATTATTGGGTATGTCTACACTAGCCCCCTAGTTCGAACTAGGGAGGCTAATGTAGGCATTCAAAGTTGCAAATGAAGCCCAGGATTTAAATATCCCAGGCTTTATTTGCATGTTCCCGTCTGGTCGCCATTTTGAAATTCCACTAGCCTGAAGTAACTGCCCGCGGCTACATGCGGCAATGAAACAGCATTCAAACTAAGTCCTTAGTTCGAATTAACTGTTACTCCTCCTGGAATGAGATGTCATTATTCCCCTACAGCATTCAAACTAAGTCCTTAGTTCGAATTAACTGTTACTCCTCCTGGAATGAGATGCCATTATTCCCCTCCATTTGGCTCTGGTGAGGCCACATCTGGAGTATTGTGTCCAGTTCTGGGCCCCCCACTACAAAAGGATGTGGATGTATTGGAGAGGGTTCAGCGGAGGGCTACCAAAATGATTAGGGGGCTGGAGCAAATGACTTATGAGGAGAGGCTGAGGGAGTTGGGTCTGTTTAGTCTGCAGAAGTGAAGCGTGAGAGGGGATTTGATAGCAGCCTTCAACTTCCTAAAGGGAGCTTCCAAAGAGGATGGAGAGAGGCTGTTCTCAGTAGTGACAGATGGTAGAACAAGGAGCAGTGGTCTCAAGCTGTGGTGTGAGAGGTCCAGGTTGGATATTAGGAAAAACTATTTCACTAGGAGGATGATGAAGCACTGGAATGGGTTACCTAGGGAAGTAGTGGAGTCTCCATCCCTAGAGGTGTTTAAGTCTCGGCTTGACAAAGCCCTGGCTGGGTTGATTTAGTTGGGATTCGTCCTGCCTAGAGCAGGAAGCTGGACTTGATGACCTTCTGAGGTTTCTTCCAGCTCTATGGTTCTATGATTCTATGCCTACATTAGCCTCCCTAGTTCGAACTAGGGGGCTAGTGTAGACATACCCAAAAGTGTCATTCTTACTAACAAGCCTTGTTCATAACTGAAGGTATGTCTACACTTGCAGCCTATTTCGGAATAGGGCTGCAAATGTAGGCATTTGGAATTGCAAATCAAGACCGGGATTTAAATATCCCGTGCTTGATTTGCATCTTCCCAGCTGGGAGCCATTTTTGAAATTTACAAGCCCGGAAAAACTGCCTGCGTCTACACACAGCAGTGAAATGGGCGTTCGAAATGAAGCCCTTTTCGAACTACCTGTTAAACCTCATTGCAGGAGGAATGCCTACATTTGCAGCCCTATTCCGAAATAGGCTGAAAGTGTAGACATACCCTGAGGGAAAATCTTTCATTCTCTGCCAAAATACTTGAGCAAACTGTCTTAATTATGTGAGGATTTATTCTGAAATAATACAATGCTCCTACTTCTCAACCTGATGTCAATGCATATCGGTGGCCTAAACTCTGAGTGCTTTTGCCATTTTAAGAGAGTAGCATCTATCAATAAACAAAGGTAATTCAAGTTTCAGTAACAAATGTATGAGTTCCAAAGAAACACACACATCCATTTCCCCCCACATTCTAGCCTGTCTTGAGAAAAAATGTTTGAAGTCTATTTCTTTTTAAAGTACTTTCAGTTCAGCAATTATCATACTTTTCACTTACACAGCACCTTTTATCTAATAATTACAAAGCAAGCTAATTAATCAAGCCTTGAAACACCCTGGTAAGTATTGTATTCTATTTATGGATGGTGTAACTGACACCACAGTGGTTATTACTTTCTCAATTCAGTGACAAACCTGGGAATAGTACCCACATCATCTGCCACCCTGTCCATTGTACTAACTCTGAAGCTCCATTCCCTGATTGATGCTGATGTCAAAATGAAGCTAAGACTAGAAAATTTAATCCTAAAAGGACCATTTTTGCCAAAGCTATGACTGGATGAAATCCAAGGGTTTTGTAAATGACTCCCTTCTTAACTCTACCTACCAATAATGTAAGATTGGCATAAATAATGTACTTTTCTGCGTACTGTCCAATTTCTGTCTGTTGGTATATTGCTAGTCACCTTTTAGTTGTCTTCTGAAACACAGATTGACTGAATTAAGAGAAGGGGAGGTTTAGCCTTAACTGAAATCCTTATTTGAGTGAAACAGTTTTTCAGTGTTATGCACGTCAGTTGGGCCATGCAAGTCTGATACACAAATTTGCACACACTCTACTGAAAATAGGAACCGGCAATTCCTAAATGATATTTTAACTGTCTTTTTATGGTTCAACTTAAAAAACAACAAATATTCTAGTAGCACTTTATAGACTAACAAAACATGTAGATTGTATCATCTGAAGAAGTGGGCTGTGCCCACGAAAGCTCATGATACCATCTACATATTTTGTTAGTCTATAAAGTGCTACCAGACCATTTATCGTTTTTTTAAGTTTATCCTGTACAGACTAACTCAGCTACCCCCTGAAGTTTTTATGGTTCAGTCTGTCAAATTATATTGAGTTCTACGCAATCCTCAAGGTCTTGATTACTTTTGAATAATACATTTAAGTGTCGCTCTGTGTGTACCTTTTGTGAACTAATGAATAATACGTATTATTGCTCATGTTTAAAATGTGTTACATTTTGAATTTATTTTATTTACTGATTGCCAAATTCTGCCAATCTTACCTGAACTGATTCATGTTTTATCTTGTAAAATTGGGGCTGTTTTTGGATAAAAGAAATATTCTGTTTCAGTAAGGCTAACAATCAGCCCTAAATTTTGAGAGTCCTTTTTTGAAACTCACTCCCTTATTGTCTCGTAGGTTAGAGATGACAACAAAAGACAACATCCGTGTTTGGTAGAGTTTTCCAAGTTGCCAGAGCAGGAACGAAATTATAATTTACAAATGTCACTTGAGACACTCAAGTAAGTTTCTACCATCTCTGGTCTTCCTGCAAATCTTTTTCATACAACTAAGCAGCGGTGGCTTCAGAAATGATAATCCAATCTGTGAAGGTTGTAGTGGTAATAAAGAAGTTACCAACTATAGTATGTTGATGTATAATTGATTTGAGACTAGAAAGAGGCATACTAGCTAAAAAGTTGTGGTTTTGAAAGTCCATTCCTCAGTCTCCAGGGAATTTTAAACTCTCCCATGCATTATAAGAAGAATAATCTCCTTGCCTTAGAGCAACTTCATATTAGTACTGACTAGTGCTGCCTGCTTTGATATGTTTGAGGTTATCACACCAATACAAAGACATTCTTATAATGATAAAAGAACAAGGAGATGTTTCTCCTGTATACAAGTGGGAAGTGGGTCTGAAGTGTACCTCAAAGAAGTAGGAAGAAATCTTTATTTTTAACGTTGTTTAGTTCTCATTCATTAAGCACAGTATTGCCTAATAAACAACAGTGATTTCTGGTCATGAAAAGTTGGATAAGTCTTATTTCACCATTCTTTATCTGGACTTTTGCCACTGTCTCCTCTATGCCAATGAGTGCATGCATGTGTGAATTTTACAGAGTCTCCCCAACATGGAATGCTAGAATATTTCAGCTGGCCACTATTACTCATCCTCCATCTGTACTGTGGTGCTGCCATTATGTTAAACAGAGACTCTCTTCACAATTCTCTCCTAAACCTGTGATTAAAACCCTGTGACAAGCATATGTATGAATTTCTTCTATCACTCTTCTCTTAATTTGTTTTTCCTTTTAAACATATAGCTGTTATTTGTAACCTTAATTTAGAAAAGAGATAACACTGCAGAATCAACATGCATTTTAAGGGGTACTTTCCTGGAAATATTTCTTCTTTCCTCTGAGAAAAATATGAGAGTGTAACTCAATGTACAATCATGGGGTATGTCTAGACCAGTGGTCTCCAACCTTTTTACACCCAAGATCACTTTTTAAATCTCAGAACAGGCGAAGATCTACCACCCCGCCCCTTCCTTGGAGCCCCGCCCTCTCTATTCTCCTCCTGTCCATCACTTGCTATCCCCAGCCCTTACTTACACACTCTGATAAACAGTTTATTTTTAAATTATGCAATATATAAAATTAAAATCACGTGTTTATAGTTATGAAATAAATGGTCTGTTTTTTATTCATGCTATTTAAATCTCAAATTAAGCATTTATAATTATATATTTTGTGGGGACAGTGTTCTGCGGCTGGGGGCCAGGGAGAGGGAACAGGTTGCTGGGAGGTCAAAGGACAGGGTTCTGCAGCAGGGGACAGAGTGCCCGTGGGGACAGAGTTTGGGTACTGGAGATCGGACTGGGGACAGAGTTCTGTAGCTGGGGATGGGAGTGGGGACAGGAGAGTGGGGACAGAGTTCTGTAGCTGGGGATGGGAGTGGGGACAGGAGAGTGGGGACAGAGTTCTGTAGCTGGGGATGGGAGTGGGGACAGGAGAGTGGGGACAGAGTTCTGTAGCTGGGGATGGGAGTGGGGACAGGAGAGTGGGGACAGAGTTCTGTAGCTGGGGATGGGAGTGGGGACAGGAGAGTGGGGACAGAGTTCTGTAGCTGGGGATGGGAGTGGGGACAGGAGAGTGGGGACAGAGTTCTGTAGCTGGGGATGGGAGTGGGGACAGGAGAGTGGGGACAGAGTTCTGTAGCTGGGGATGGGAGTGGGGACAGGAGAGTGGGGACAGAGTTCTGTAGCTGGGGATGGGAGTGGGGACATGAGGCGTGGCCCAGCCTGGCCAACCACCTCTCCTCCTCTTCCTCCTCTCCCCTCCCCTCCCGCAGTGTGGCCAACCCCCGTGGGCGCCTGCCCCGGGGCCAACCCCCCACTCCTGCGGTACAGCCCGGTGCGGCCAACCCTCCCTCCTCCCCTCCCGCAGTGCAGCCAACCCCTGTGGGCCCCTTCCCCGGGGCCAAACCCCCCTTCCTGCGGCCCGGCTCAGCCCTGCCAGGCCATCCGCAGCACAGCCAACCCCTGCGGGCACCTGTCCCGGGGCCAAACCACCCCTCCTGTGGCTTGGCCCGGCCAACCCCCCTCCCTCCCCTCCCGTAGCACGGGCAAACCCCCGCGGGTGTCTGCCCCGGGCCAAGCCTCAGGGCCAACCCCCACTCGACTCACCCTTCCAGCGCTGGCGGCACAGGGAAGCCGCCGCACTCCTCCTCCAGGGCCAACGCCCCCTCCCCCAGCACTCAACAGAGTTGTGGGAGGGGAGAAGCCCACACACTTCCAGAATCCCCGGAAATCATGTGGGCTTCAGAAAGGACTTCCGTCCACCCCGCGGGAAGCTGGCACTACACTAGAGGTAGGTAGTGGGGCTTCTCGGGGGTTGGGGGAAAATGGGGGGTGAGGGTGCCTGAACGCCTCGCGATCGACCAGTCGATTGCGATCGACGGGTTGGTGACCATGGGTCTAGACTACATGCCTCTGCCGACCGAGGCATGTAAATTAGACGTACCGACATAGTCAATGAAGCAGGGATTTAAATAGCCCCCGTTTCATTGAATAAAAATGGCTGGCGCGTTGTGCCAGTTCAGGTGTTTGTCGGCACGAAGCGGCAGTCGAGACAGGGATTGGTCAGCAAGGAAAGCCTTTGCCGACCAACCCTGTAAACCTCATTGCACAAGGCATAAGAGATCGGTAAGCAAAGGCTTTCCTTGCTGACCAATCCCCGTCTTGACTTCCACTTTGTGCTGACAAACAACTGAGCTGGCACAATGTGGCTGCCATTTTTATTCTAATGAAACGGAGGATATTTAAATCCCTGATTCATTGACTATGTCAGTATGTCTAGTTTACATGCCTCAGTCATCAAAGGCATGTAGTCTAGACATATCCATGTAGTGTAAGTGCAATGAACTTTTAGGGGGCTTGAAGCAGCCTCTCTTGGCTAGTTTTTTGGAAATACCTGATACTTGGTTAAAAATAGCTCTTTGGAAACATTTCTAGGAGCACTGACAATAAACTGTTTCTGTCAAGACAGTTTTGACTGTATCCACTTATTAGATGAACTCCATCCAATGTGGGAAAATTGGCCCAACTTTCTGTTCTGCAAGGTGGCAAAATTTCAAGAACAGTTCATGGGAGCTTCAGTCAGCACTATCATTTTGATTTCCAAAATAGTCTCTGTTCAGTTTGTGAAACTACAAAAGATGATGACACGTAAAAACAGCCGTACTGGGTCTGGCCAAAGGTCCGGATATCCCAGTGTACTGTCTTCCAACAGAGACCCATGCCAGGTTCCCCAGGGAATGAACAGAACTCATAAGCATCAAGTGATCCATCCCCTGCCACTCATCCCCGGCTTCTGACAAACAAAGGCTAGGGATATTAGCAGCTGTTGACAGACCTATCCTCCATGAAAGTTTCTAGATCTTTTTGAACCCTGTTATAGTCTTGGACTTCACAACATTCTCTGGCAAGGAGCTTCCAGTTAGCTGTACATTCTTTTGTATTGGGGCAGATTAATTTCTGGTTTTACAGAACTATGACTCAGTTTCTTAAAACATACAAAACAATCCTCTCTCATAACATTCAATGTACTCTAATCATGTTCTGTCAAATACTCATCATGTCTTTTATGGGAGCCTGATGTTTTTACAATCCAAGGCTCTTTGAGGTTTTTAATCTGACCCCAAGACAAACATGTCATTTTATTTATATATTATATTGAATTAGTTGTTGGTTTTCACTGTAATATTTTTACTACACTATAACATATAGAATCTGTGAGTTAAGCAAATGAAGGGCCACTGTAGAGCTGTCACCCTGCCCTGAAGCTTTATACATCTGATTACAGTTTGCAAAAAGCCTTTCTTTTCTAATACTGGACCTTTCTTAAGCATAGAGTTAGATGTGTTGTATCATGGTGACTTTGTCTTGTAGACATTTATCTACTATGGGTTAGAATGAGGGTGTCAGACTCATTTGTTTTCTGCTAGTTAAGAAGAATAGTGCATTAATTCACTCCTATTGTCGTCCCCTGTAGAGATTTGAATCTGTAGGTACTGTTCATGAAGCATGAATAGTCCTTTAACTGAGTCTTAAAATCTGTTAGTAGTCAACTTCAGTGTGAAGAAAAGAGGGAAAGGAAACATATTTAAAAAACAAACAAAAAACCCTTATACTCTGTAATACAACAATGTCATATTATTCACATATTGCAACATAGTGTTCAAAATTTGAAAAAAGCTCTCACAGTTTGAAGAATAGCTCTGAACTTTAATTAATTTTTGTGTTGGTTTGCTGACAGTTTTCTGCCAGCCTTACTAGATCAGAGATACAGAAATCAAAAAAATCTGGAGTCATATTATCTGCCACATCTTTTCATTACATTTCTGTTTGTAAGCTTGATAGTATTATGGTGCACTTGCACAAATATGAAGTAAAAAATAATATACACTATTAAATGTCAAAATTCAAGAATGAGTTGTCACTTAAATTGTATAAATAAAATGTGTACTTAGGTTTCATGTCATAGCACCTAAGCCTCTGAGAGGGCCAACTGATTTCAAAGGGTCTATTTGAATTGTAAATGTAACGATGATTACAGTCTGACTTAAGTGCCCACTTACCCCGCTTTCCGCACTTGTTGTTTTCCTGATTGAGTGCATTTGGTCTGGATGTAAATTAGAGCAGGAAGGCTACTGGTCTAATTTACTCTGCTCATGTAAGTTCTGTTATACCAGGGAGGATTTGGTACAGCAAAATTCAAGTTTCCAGTGCCACCTCTTTGCCATGACACACTTCCCCTTTCTTTTCATTGGTGATGGTTGGGAGAGCTGGCATAAAAGGCCAATAAACAGTTGCTGCAAGCCAGCAGATGATCTCTATATGGGGCATTCTCCAATGAGAATCTGCAGTTGGTGGCTTTAATGAAATGAAGAATTTGGGTCTTAGTGTCTACTTTTCACTTTCTTTCTCTTATTGAGGGTACATGATTAAAGGATTGAGCTTCTTATCTAATATACACATTTATACATGATGAAAAATACTTTATTAGTGACTGACAAGTAAATCTTCAACTATCAAAGAGTTATCTGTGCAATGTCAGAATATTTTTGCATTTGCAAGAGGGAGGCAATGTGGAAGACTGAGCCTCTTGTCTTGGATTAAATGTCTTTTCTCTAAGGGTCAGTGGTAAATAATTCAGTTCATCATCTAGTTTTGTATTGTGCATCAATCAACTGAAAATAGTATAAATTAGTTCTATTTCTAAGCATAGCTTTCCTTTTTTATAATTGTTTTTAGAGAGAAATGTAGTAAGAATTTGTGACTGTGAGAGTTTTAAAAGTAGATTAACAAACTTAATTCCTTATTTAAAATAATCATTACAAAGTTTGGGTTTATAATAGATAATACCATTCATTTTACATACAGCAGAAAAATAACATTTAAGAATCATTTGAAGCATACATTTCATCCTCAAGGAGAAATAAATAGGGATTGCATAAAATCTGAGCAGCAGTATACACCAGAAAGTAAAATCAAGAATGTTATAACAAGCATCAGCTCCATCCCAGCCACTTTGAATGATAGGAAAATTGGAATCTTAAATCCAAATTCTATCTCTCTTGGGTCTCTCTTTTAATCAACCCTAACCAAATTTGGTTGATGAAAGCACCTTCCTATTTGAAGTAAGTTCTGATCTGTATTGAAACTTGAGAACTCGTACACCATCTATACTTTTAACAGAATTAAAAACATATCCAGCCACCTCACTAATGCACTAATTTGTAACTCTGACACAGGAAAAAGTAGGCTCTGGCACTCATCTGATATCTAAAATATTGTCCAGCACAGATAGGCCCACTGGTTCACAATTAAAATGTCTGAAATCTTCCTAAAAGAATCACATTTTAAAGAAGACATATGACATTTTCTGATATTGACTGGGAGAAGAGATTGATTTGTGTGTGTGTGTGTGTGTGTGTGTGTGTGTGTGTGTGTGTGTGTGTGTATTAAGCCAAAATGTAAGTAGCACTTAAAGAAAGAGAAAGGGAAAAATAGAGTATCAGTGAGATGTTTGGATTGACTGGAGTCTGAGATCACAGCAGCGGTAGTGTGCTCTGTCTTAAAGGAGAAAGGAACACTTTGTTCATTCTTCCATCAATTTCTTTGGCCTGCCAAAGGAGCAATATTGATAAAACCTGCAGGAAATCACTTATAATCCTCCTTTTTGGAGTGAAGCCTATGTCTCATGAATTCTTGGAGGAAAATAAGAGTTGCTAATTGTCTGAAAAAGCAGAAAAAATAAAAAGAATAAGTTTATAATCATGATTTTTAGATTGTATATTAAAAAAATTCAGAAGGCAATGCTAATCCATTCAGAGTCATTATACAGATGTGTGTATTATATGTATTTAATTCAAAGAGCGTACTTAGTATCTGCTCTGCTTACTTGAGGATACTTCTCTGGAACACGTATGGACACAGAAATGTACTTGACCAATATAATTTATTTTAGTCTTAATACACTTTTTTTTTCACTCAACTATCTTAGTTTGAGATATTTGACATTTTTACCCCATTACTCTATTCTAATCACAAGTCTGATCTAACATATTAAATAATCTAGTTAGTGTCCTTGTACTTTTTTCCAGTAGGACAAAAAAGTGTATGGCAAATACCTCAAAAGAAGTGTGGTAAGAATTTTTACATCATGAAGGAATGTTATGATGTAGTTCCTATAGGTCTAATTTGACATAAGGGTCCTGTTGTGTCTATCTGATAACAGAAACCAATATATAAAATTGACAGGTTATCTCTGATTTTGCCTTTCAGAACCCTGTTGGCTTTAGGTTGTCATGTTGGAATTGCTGATGAATATGCTGAAGAAAAAGTGAAAAAACTGAAACTTCCTAAGAAGTAAGTCAAAATTCAGACATATCCATTTTAGTTTTGTTTGGTTTTTGTTTTGGTTTTTAGAGTTTTTGTTTTTTGTTTATTATGAAGAGTTGAGGAGACTGAGTTCTAATAAGTGTACAGGTGAGTGAGAGAAGGTGGGTGGGAAGAGGGAAAAGAGAAAACACGAGGTTGTAGCCACAGGAGTCAGCATGTACCTAGTAATATTCTGACTGTAATCTTCAGCTTTTTGAGTTGGAAATATATTACAATCCTTCAGGGGGTAGCTGAGTTAGTCTGTTACAGAAAAAAACAACAAATGGTCTGGTAGCACTTTATAGACTAACAAATGAAGAAGTGGGCTGTGCCCACGAAAGCTCGTGATACCATCTACATGTTTTGTTAGTCTATAAAGTGAGACCATTTGTTGTTTTTATTACAATCCTTCTTCATCTACTTTGAATTTGTATTTGGTGTCCAAAAAGTAAGTGAATAAAACATGGACCCAAACATATCATTCATCTGCGTATATGTCATGCATGTTTATGTTACCAGTTATCTTCCCATGACTTTCTTGGGTCTTGTGCTTCTATCTCATTAGGTGTTTTTCCAAATTCCCTCAGATACATACATAAATATATCTATAATTTTTGTGACCAACTAAGATCTGGTGTTTAGACAAACAGTAAATATTGTAATGAATAGAGAAGCTGTTTGCAGTTGATCAGTGGTTCCTGGTCTTCTTTATAGATGGAGCACATATTGTAGTCATTCTGAGTGGGACTTATGAAAAGCACCTAAGGAGTTAGGAGCACAAGAAGAGAAATGCATAATTGGTGGGGTTCACTGATAGCGTATGAGGAGAAAAAAATTGCCAATTAAATATGATTAGACATAGATGTAATATTGATTATTCTGAATGTGTGAAAATCTGTACAAAGCTGAGACTTGAACCACATTGGAAAAATCATGCTACCATAGCTTGGAATGGTTGATTTAAGATAACCTAACCGGATATGAAGATTCATTCACCTGTTGTGGATGTTTTTAAAGGTTTTATGATTACTGCAGTACCATAATTTTAAGATGAAGGCACCATACCACAAAAACACTAGTTGAAGCCAACAGGTGTCAGAACATGGTGACTTTTTGGTTGTGGTCTTTTTGTTTTGGAACTCTGACATTTCTATTATATTCCTTTTAATTGTGTTTCTGGAGTATAGAACATAGATGTGTATAACATGATCCAATTCTTACTACCTCAAATATTAACTCGGAACAAGGAGAATCCCTCTATGAAGACAACACTGAACCCACTCCAAATAGTCACTTGCAGTTTGGATTCAATTTATTACTGGGAAAAAGTGGCCACTCTAATGGAAAGCTCGTGGTCTATCACAGGAAATATTACATATGCTGTGCTCGGTGATGCTGACAAAACTTGGTAACACTTGTGAATTCAGTATACCTAGGCTTTTGCTAAACCTGTAGGCTACGTCTAGACTGCTCCCTCTTGCACAAGAGAATATGCAAATGAGGAAAAATAGTGACTGAGCCTCCATTTTTGCACATGAGGCTTTTGTGCAAAACCCCCCTCTTGCTCAAGAGCAGTTCTGCCACTTTTTTTCAGGAAGAATGGCTCTTGCACAAGAGGGAGGTTTTGTGCAAAAAGGATCAGTGTAGATTATTCCTTTTTGCACAAAAGCCCCTTGCACAAAATGGTGGCTCATTAAGTATGCAAATGAGGCATGGTGATAGTCACTGCTTTGCCTCATTTGCATATTCTTTTGCACAAAAGGGGGCAGTCTAGATGTAGCCATACTGTTTTCCAGATGTAAGCTCCTTTCATCCAGTGAAGAAATAATGTTTTCTCTGTAACTTTAGTGACCTGCGATATTTCACTGTTAATTTTGTTTGCTAGTTTTTGTGAATCAAGTTTATGTGGAAGCAGGATTAGTGCATTTCTTCAGTAACCATAATGTGATTTAATAAAATTTTCTTCTATGTAGTGGAATACTAGCATTTCTTAGACCCTGCTTGGTTGGCTCAATCATCTAACAATGGTGTGGTCATACACAGTGGAATGGGAAAGCCAGTTTGATTGTATTTTTCTATATACAATGATTGTGTAAAAGATTGCATGACAGAAGTTTGCAGAATTTTCTTTCATCTGTATCATAACTTTCACATTCAACCTAAGTTATTACCAGCCATTCATTCTACAGTATTTGAGGGCTTTGACCTTACTGATCCAAAACTTCCTTTGATTTCAGGGAGAGGTCTGCTTAAGAATTTGTCTAGTCATGTAAATTAATGTGGAATAAAGTTAGGTGTGAATTTAAAATGGATTAACAATTTCTGATTCACTCTGTGAAGGCACCCTTATTCCATAAATGGGCCTTAGTCAAAATTGGTTTAATCAAGAAAGTGGAATCAGGGATTAAAATATCCACATGCGCAATTAATCATGAATAGCAGTTCTGAAATGACTCCTCATATAGAGAAATCCTGAGATATGCAAAATTATATTCAAAGAAATGACAAGGGATTCAGAAGTTGGATCATTTGTGCCAAATCCTGCGTACCATATAGTAGTCTCACTGAAGTTGCTTGCATGAGTGTGAGGTGAAGAGACCTGGCCTGTAGAGTCATTTAGGACCTCTTTAATATAACTTTTCTAATATTACTTCATCTTCATATACACATGTTCTTCAAAAGAAGGATTTCCTGTACAGTATAATGTATGCATCCTAAATATTCATCTCCTCATTTGGACACAATTCTTGTATTTTTTTCCAAATTACTTCTCTTTCTGTGTGACTAATATATAAACATTTTGATTAAAGTATTCTTAAAATGAGTTAGAGAAAATAAATCTTCACATTCTGAGGATATAAGATTTATATTTAATCTTTGCATTTTAGCTAAAGATGTCACTTCACTGATGAACTGAGTCTCCTCTCCAGACCATATAATGCATATTACATAGTATTTTTCTTCCTAAAAGGATCCATGTTCCCAACTTTTAAAAATGATCCATTTGACATTTTGACTGAAATCTTTTTGTCCCCAGTCTTGTAGTTGCCAAAATGTCCCTACTGTCTATTGAATTAACTGAGAGTTGACAATACACAGACCTTTTAGGACTGATCTCTAAATTGGGAACAGTCAGACTTGCTTGTTACTCCTCAGGGAACTTTCACATACTTATAGATTGCTCTGTGTGCTTGCAAGCTTGAAAATGTAATTTCAAAATTTAGAGCCTGGATACTGCCCTTGACTTCAGTGGAAGCTATCTATTACAGGTTTTCTGGTATGTATTTTGCATGTTGATTAAGGAAATAACTGAGTTCTCCATCGTACAAATACAAACCAGCTGGTTGATTGTATCTTATATGTAAATCAAAGGTAGCTCAAAATAAAAATGGATTTTTTATCATACTGGGTCAAACTCTTCCCTCAGGCATGCATTTAAAATTTCTGTTGAGATCACTTTGGGAAATTGTTTTCATTTATACCTCGGCAAGCCCATTAGCTCAGTAATAAGTGATATTAACAGAAGAAATAGTTTTATTGTGACATATTCATATGTCTGAACATAGTTTGACCCATTTTTAATGATTGTTTTGTTTTCTACTCATTTGTACCTCAAAAATCTTCTGGTTTTGTTTTTTCTACCTTACTTCATGACTAGACTCATTCAATAGATCAGTGGTACAGTATTATTAATGTTAACATGACCTCTGTAAGTGTTATGGCTACTAAGATGTAATACAGGTTGAACCTTTCTAGTCTGGCACCCTCGGGACCTGAGAATTTGCCAGACCATGATCAGTCAATATTGTCTAACAGCATTACTAACACTTCCACTGCTTACGAGGCTCTTAGAAAACATTTAGGGGTAAATTAATGCTAAATAACTGCACAGAACACCAAGAGCCAGGATTGGTGACCATAAACAAACTTTTGGGGACCGTGGGAAACTTGGCTACACCCATGATAACTGGACATCCAGCTAACTAACATCGTGCCAGAGTAGAGAAGTTTAACCTATGTTAGTGTAACATTTTGTTCTTTTGACTACTAATGACAAAATATCAAGATACTGCTGTGAGGCTCAAAGAAAATTAAACTCAAGTGGCCATATATAATTCTTTCCCACATACTTTTACCTCATAATTATTCTGGACAGGAGGGTGATGGTGGTGTTTCATATTATGATCAATTTAAGTTGGTTAGGTTCTCAGTGTATGTTCTGATAGGTTCTAATCTATGCCTGAAGGTAGGTGGATGCTCACAAAATAGCCAAAAGGCAAGAATGGCGAACTGAAGTCAAAGGAAAATTGTAATAATTTGATATGCTATAGTGATTTTCTATTAGATGCTGGAGCTCTCTCAACAGTTTGTGTAACAAATGTTATTGTAACTTGTTTATTTTGGGGGTATTTTTCCCATCTTATCATCTTTCAGGGTCAAATGTGCCTTCATTTGTGGCCATGCGACTACAAATATGAATGATTATTTTGTTGAAAGTTAATACTTTTTCACTTGGTAGTTACCTATTTCCTATTTTATTTTCTCAATAATTCCAAAGTCACTGCATGTTGTTAAAGTATCTCACTGTATGTTTCTAAGATTTTTAGACTGAGTTAGGGATATGGGTGATCATCATCAATGTTCCCATTCCTCACACATAGCTTTGTAGCCTCAAAGGTAATACAAATAGGAAGAAGATTCGGGGGTAGCCAAGTTAGTCTGTATAATATAAACTTAAAAAAACCAACAAATAGTCTGGTGGCACTTTAAACACTAATAAAACATGTAGATGGTGTCATGAGCTTTCATGGGAATAGCCCACTTCTTCAGATGACCAGAGTGTTGGATATCCAGGACCAAAATAAGTAGGGGAGAAGGGGTGGCACCCAGAAAGTTCCCTATAGCAACTCCTATCATCAATAATTCTCAATAATTCCAAAGTCACTGCATGTTGTTAAAGTATCTCACTGTATGTTTCTAAGATTTTT